CGGCATTCCCTTACATAACCCCACATCTAAGGTCAATGATCGTTCAGCTGGCTTGAAATCTAGTGTTAATGGTCACTCACCCAGCCTCACATTTAAGGCTTATAGTCACTCTTTTGAGCCCACATTGATGTCAATGACTCCTTACTTGAACTCATGTGGTGAGTCATTTACCCAGCTGCACACCTATGTCACCCACCTTGCCTTGCATCTTGTCCCCAGAGTACCAGGGCTGAAGCTGTCGCCATCTCCCAAGCTGCCACCACCTCTGGATCTGCCAAACCACGAACAAGAATAGTGTTACCAGGTTCCCTGGACTCAGAAGGCAGCTGCTGCCACAGTATCTGCAGCCCAGGGCATGGGTCAACTGGTCCCAGAGAAGGCCCATGTCCCCCTCAGCCCCAAGCAGGCCCTCTGGCAGCCATTCCATTTTCCTCAGCCTAGCGGCAGTTTACCCTGAGGTCATCACTGCATCACAGAACAAAGAACTCCCATCCCCCACATACCTAACAGCAGTCTCTGTGAATTTAGAGCCCCAAAATTGCGCCCACCAGACAACTCATACTTTATTCAGTGAAAGCTTAGTGATCCCCTTTCGTCTTGATTACCAAGGTCAGAATTATCTTCAGGCATTGTGGTTGAGGACATGGATTCTAGCATCAAACTACCTTATTCCAATCCTAGCTCTACCACTTCCTACCTGTGAAATCTCAAACTACTTTATCTTTCAGTGCCTCAGTTCTCTCATCTGTAAAATGGGGATAATATTATTACTTACCACATAGGGTTGTTTTGAGGGTTAAATGAAAACATTTGTATGCTTAGAGTAGTACATAGTATATGCTATGTTAAAATATTATTTCTTTTTTTGCCATAAATGATCAATAAACAATCTATAACAAGAATAGAATAGAGGACAGTTTTATTTGAGCCAAGCTGAAGACTGTAGCCCAGGAGACAGCCTCTCAGATAGCTCTGAGGAACTGCTCCCAAGAAGCCTGGTTTCCAGCACAGCTTTATATCTTGTCAGAACAAAGGACATCAAACGTGACAGGGGTACATTCCTTCAACGCTTCAAAAAAGACAGATTAGCTCATACACAGCAAGTTGGTATGACCTTGGTGCCTGGGAAGGGAGCCTTATCGTCAAAGGAGTACTAGCATTGACATCCCAGGAAGGAAGGCATTTATCTCTAATTTCATAACAGATATTCTTTACTTCTGGACAATGCACCCTTTTCTTTAATGGTTAAAGCAGATATGCAATGTATGTTTGATAGACCACAAGACAGGCTTGTAGTTAGTATAAAGTTCAAGTCAAATCATATATAAGCCAGAATGACTTCCCTATACCTCAGTATATGAAAATTTCTTCCATCACTTTTAAGGTTCCTGATTATACACCTCATTCCATCTTTAATAGATGGAGTCTGTTTCCTCTTTTACATCTCATGTCTTTAGGTTGCCTGGGACCTTTTTCACAAATATTCATGTTAAGGATGACAAATCAAACATACTTGCCCCTTCTTTTTTCATTTGCCCCTCTTTTCCCTAAAACCACCACTCTGCTTCATGTCAACTCCTCTTTTTAGGGTCAAACTTCAATATCTGCCTTTGCAGTACAATTCAATGCCTCTCTTCTCACCCTATCCCGCATCAACTGCCAGCTTAGTCTGGTAGAAAGAGCATTGAGCTGAAGTTGAGGAGACTTGGATTTTCTAGCTCTGTCACTGTTTGGCCATGTAATCTTGGGCAAGAAAGTTTTCTCCATTGGTACCATGATTTGGACTAGATTTATTCATTCACTCATTCAGAGAATATTTATTAAGTGCTTACTATGGATCAGGTGTCGTGCTCAGTCTTGAGGAGGCAGAAGTAAGACAGGGTCTCTGTGCTAAAGTAGGTCCCATTTCAGTGAGGGAAACAGTCAAATAATAGACAATTAAAATAGAGATATGTACAGGGTATTAAGGAGTGTGGAGGATATCTGACCACCTTGGGGAAGGGGGTTGCTTGTCAGGGGGTGCTTCCCAGAAGAGATGACCAGTGCTTGGTTTGAGGAATCAAGAAAAGGAGGGGGAAGGGAAGAGAGGACAATCCAAGCAGTAGAAACAGCCTGTGCAAAGGTGGTGGGTCAGAGAAAGCATGTCCCATTAGGGAAATTGAAGGTGTTTCAGTGCAGCTGTAGTATTAGTTGGGGGTTGGGGAAGCAATAGGATAGACAAGATCACAAAGGGCCCTGAATACCAGACTAAGAAGTTGGAAATTTATCCTGAAGGTGATGGGAAATAATTGAAAATTTTTGAGCAGAGAAGAGACAAGATCAAGTTTGTATCTTGGAAAGAACACTCTGGCTATATTGAGGGCAAAGAGATTGAAGGCAAGAGATTGGTTAGGGAAACTTTGCTTTAGTTTAGGCAAAATGAAAGATGAGGCCTGAACCAAGGCAGTGATGGTGGGAATGGAGAATAACAGGTTCACGTAGAATTCTAAAGTTATAGTTGATTAGACTTAGTTACCAGTGGGATAGGGTGGAGTAGGGAGGGAGTTGAGAATGACTCTAGGGATTCTGACTTGGGGAGCTGGGTGTGTATGTTAGTGACATTTTACTGAGGTAAGTAACACAAACCTGGTAACCAATTTAGGGTGAGGGGACAATGTGTTCCATTTTAGACATTTGCATTTGAGGTTCCTGTGACAAGGAAATGTCAGGCAGGAGGCAGATAGATACATGTATCTGAAGCTTGGGAAAGTAGTCTGTGGGGGAGATATAAATTTGACAGCCACCAGTATATATGTAGCAGCTGAAACCATAAAACGGCTTAAAGGTACATACTGATATACAACATTTGGCCCAGACAATGTGGCCAGCAGTTTTTTGTTTTTTTTTTTAAAACTTGAATGGTCAACATTATAAGATTAGTAGATTGTACGTAATAATATTTTGGGCTTAAAATCTGGCAACATAGGGCTCTCATTCCCACAAAGTAAAGACCACTAATTAATTAATTAACTTTATTTATTTATTTTTGGCCACGTTGGGTCTTCGTTGCTATGCGTGGGCTTTCTCTAGTTGCAGCGAGCGGGGACCACTCTTTGTTGCGGTGCGCGGGATTCTCATTGCGGTGGCTTCTCTTGTTGCAGAGCATGGGCTCTAGGCGCAGGCTCAGTAGTTGTGGCACACGGGCTTAGTTGCTCCACAGCATGTGGGATCTTCCCAGACCAGGGATCGAAGCTGGGTCCCCTGCATTGGCAGGCAGATTCTTAAACACTACGCTACCAGGGAAGCCCAGTAAAGACCATTTAGAGCTAAGTAGCAGGTGCTCCCTTAGTGGCCATGTGCTTTCCAGTTCACCATGTTCTCTTTGTTAAAGCCGAGGCTAAGGGCTAGTTGCTGTTTCTTATTGTGCCTATGGTTTTGTTGTTTTCTTACACTTGCCTATTTTTAGTCATTTGCATTACCTGCCTGGTATCTGAGTTTCCTACCTCTGGATGAATAAAGTAAGTTGAGTTCTGATAGGAAATAGAGAAGGCGCTGCTGAATTCTGTGCTAGCTAATTTACATTTATGGCAGGATAATCTACTAAGTTGCTGTCTGCTACTCATTGCCAAAAGAGACAATTAGTAGGATAAAAAGGTAACTTTGCTCTCCTCTCTTCCAGGAATTCTAGGTTTCTTGTCTCATGGAATAGTTAATGGATTTTGAGTTTTCTAGTCCCAAACTGAAGTTGCAATACACCTGTTCTACAACCTTATCCAGGCTCTTGTGTGGGAGGAGAATTTAATTTAGCTGGGTGCTCTTCAGGGGAAGATGGAGGAGATGCTGAGTGGAAAGAAGAGGAGTTGCCCAAGGATAGCAGTGGGTTCAGGGACTTGAGAAAAAAGAGATGTTGCAATAGGCTCCATGAGTGACAGAAGTCAATTAGGAGGCAGCAGGGCTTCTGATGGGGAGAGCTGATTTAGTAGTTAGGGCACTAAACATCTAGTACATAGTCTTGGGAACTGCAGCAAAAGATCCTGATATATATACTTGGTAGAGATGCTGTGGAGCCATTTGCCTTTGAATGGACTGTATGAGTTTAGATAATGCACATCCCAGTGGCAACCATGACAGGATCAAGACCCAAGTTTCTTTCCTAAGTGGTTTTTTTTTTGGTCAATGTATATCACATTAAAGAGGGGAAAAGCCCCCTTCCCTGCCCCAAATCATGATTTATATTAGATGTCTTCCAACCCTGGTAAATGAGAGTTTCGAACCAGGTTTAATTTAATTTAGAAAAATTAAGTAATGTGATGTTTCTTGTGTTTCAGTGTTGTGGAACAAATTTATACTCTAACATTTATTATCTCATTTAATCTTTACAACTCTTTGAAGTAGGTATTGTTATATTCTTTCACATAGGGGAAACTGAGACACAAAGAAATTAACATATGTTAACTATTATCATTATTATTATATCTATATATCCATAGATATGTAGATATCCCAGAAGGTAGAGTTAGGGATTGAGAACCCCCTTGTATTGTGAGGAATCAATTGTATGTGACAGAAATGAAAATCCAGGGACTTCCCTGGTAGTCCAGTTGGTAAGACTCCATGCTCCCAATGCAGGGGGCCCAGATTCGATCCTTTGTTGGGGAACTAGATCTTGCATGCATGCCGCAACTAAGAGTTCGCATGCCGCAGTAACTAAGAAGCCTGCATGCCGCAACTAAAAAGATCCTGCATGCCGCAACTAAAGATCCTGTGTGCCGCAACTAAGACCCGGTACAGCCAAAATAAATAAATAAATAAATATTTTTAAAAAAAGAATTAAAATCCAATTTAATCCAAATTAAAACCTGGTGTAAACAAATGGGAATGTATTGACTCATATCTGAACAATCCAGGGGTAGGGTTGGCTTCAGGCAATTGGATTGATGCAGGGATTCAATTCAATGTCATCGGGATTCAGTTTTCATTTCTTTTTCTTTCTTTTTTTTTCTAAGATTTATTTTATTTATTTATTAATTTATTTAGCTATTTACTTAGGCTTTGGCAGGTCTTAGTTGCGGCACACAGGATCTCCGTTGCAGCATGCGGAATCTTTATTTGCGGCATGCAAACTCTTAGTTGGGGCATGCATGTGGGATCTAGTTCCCTGACCAGGGATTGAATCTGGGCCCCCTGCCGTGGGAGCGCAGAGTTGTTTTTTTTTTTTTTAAGTAATGTCTTTTTAAAAATAATTAGTCAATTAATTTATTTTTGGCTGCGTTGGGTCTTCGTTGTTGCGTGCGGCCTTTCTCTAGTTGTAGTGAGCGGGGGCTACTCTTTGCTGCGGTGCGCGGGCTTCTCATTGTGGTGGCTTCTCTTGTTGCGGAGCACAGGCTCTAGGCACGTGGGCCTCAG